GCTCGTAACGTGTCGCTCCGCCACCGCCGTCACTTGTTTCTCGTCGATACTTTTCATGTGGCTCTGGCTGCCGGCAAAGGGCGGGGCCGTGGGCCGACCCTTCGGCGACCCTTGCGAAGGGCCACGCCCCTTGCCCTCGCTACCAACCTTCGGCGTTATGTGCGCTGGCTGTCGTCGGGGCTGAACGCAGCCGACTGGCCGTCTGTCTCACCACGGCTTCTTCCACGGCAAAGGTTTCGCGCGCCGCGCCGCGGCGGGCCGCGCCCTCCTTGAAGCAGCTGGCTTCGACGATCGTGGCGGCGCAGGCCTTGAGCCATCCTCGAGCGGAGGAGCTGGCCGAGGGGGCCATCAGCTTCCCCGCGGATTCCGCCGTCTCGGATGCGACGAGAACTCGGCGCCGCTGCCATGCTCACGATTCCTGGAGTGGCTGGGGTGGCGCGAGCACGACTTGGCCAGCCAGCTGGACGCGATCCAGGCGTCCTTCCTGACGGACTTGGCCCTGGGCGGCTTCGACGCGGCGACGGGGGGGACGACGGCGGCGGCTCTGCCCCGCACCCTCGGGGGGAAGCGCCCGCTTCCCCGAGCTGCGCGGGCTCTCGATGGCAATCGCCGTTTGGTGCCGCCACAGATGCGCCTGCCACTTCCGCGCTCGGCGGCGATGGCGGTGGCGGGCTGGCCCATCTGAGTGAAAATGCCCAGCATGGCCGTTTTCGCGGCGCTGGTCTTCCACGCGTACGTCAGGCCGTCGGAGGCCCACCGTTTGCGCGCGGGCTCGCTGGCGCCGCCAATCCTTGGATCTGGCTTCATCACTCGGGGCCTCATCGTGAGCGATGCGAAGTCGGGTCGTCCTGGCAAGACGGGCGCGACGGACGAGTCGGTCCCGGCGGGCGCCCCCGAGCTTCGGCCCGCGCTGCGCGCGCCGACGCTCAACGCGCCTGCAGGCGCCGGCCTGGAACTCCAAGCCCGCCGACGCGCGCGCGATGTTCAGCCAGGCCCCGATGGAGCCGGGGCTGCAGAAGGAGCCCCCGCCCGCGCACACCTTCCGCCACAGGGGGGCCCCACGCGACTTGCTCGCGGGGGCTCGCTCGACATCGGAAGCGAAGGAGAGAGGGAGGTGGATTTCGGACAAGTCGCCAAGAAGGTACGGGAAACGGACTCGCACGCAGCAGCGAATCAGGGACCCCCGACGCAAGTCGCCGAATTCGGCGAGCAGGTCTTCGCGAGGCTGTCGGAGCTGATCGAGATCACGTTCGCGAAGGGCTCCTTCCCGCCGCTGGCGGCCCCATTGCAGGCCGCGTCCGTCGCGCCTCGGGCCGCGAAGCGGGTGCCTGTTCTGACCAGAAGGTAGATTCTCCTATGAGGTCGGCTTCTCGGCGCGCCCATGCGCGGGCGCCCCGCCGCCGTCGGCCCGTTCTGCCGGCGGTCGGGCCCCGCGGGGCCCCCATTTGCCAAGCGTTGCGCAGGCGCGGTTTGGGTTGTCCCACGCTTGGCGCAGGTCGGTTTGTGGGTCTCGGTCTGACTGAGCGGGCTGTCGTCGGTCGACTCCTCGGGTGGATTCGATCGTCGGCTGTCTGCGATTGCTGGCTCTCCCTGCCGAAAGGGTCCTGGATCGAGTCTGGGCCCCCTCTTGTCCGCAGTCTGTCTGATCCGCGGGGTCGGGCCGCGCCTGCTGACTTTCGGCCGAAGCTTCCGACCTTCTGGCCCGACAATGTCGACATGCGTGCTGCTCTCAGCATTATCCGAGCCTGTATCGAGCACGCTGTGCCCGTCTGTCTTGAACTCCCGAGGGCCAGCCACGTTTTTGCCTTGCCCGAGTTTCAGTCACTTGTGAAACTCCCGTCTTTTCATCAGATTGATATGGGCCTTTGCCAGTGCGGATCGCCCACCCGCTCGGCAGCACGAGTATTCAGCTGGCACTGCCCGCGGCTCCAGCGCTTCAAAGCTCGTTGCAATCCGCATAGTTCTGCGCACTCTTTCGCAGGGCGGCCGCATTTACAATTCAACGGCCGCACGGCCAGGGGCGCGGCTTGCCGACGTAATGCCGCGCGCTTCCCCGTCAGAGCCACCGAGCTTGTCGCCGATTCCCTCGTCAGTGCAATTGAAGATCTGTTTCGGTCCAGACTGTAGATTGTCTTGGCGGCCTTTGGCCATGATGTAATGTTACAGAAGGTACGTCTGTGATGGCTGCGTGTGTCTGCCGTCATTCTCGGAGCCGAGGCATCGCTTTCTGCCGCTGCCACCGTCAGCTGTTCTAAAAAGATACAATGGCCACGGCCACCCTCCCTGGCATAGTAACAGCTCTTATGTGGATTGTGCTGGGGCAGGGGGAGAGTGGCCGCACAACTGCAATTTGTTGTGCTCAAACTCCCAGGCCCGCCCGCCCTCGCTTGAGGGTTTTAATGTTTAAAATCGACGTCTGTGCTGTCTGCGTGTGTCAGCCGTCGCTTTCGGAGCCGAGGCATCGGTTCCTACTTCGGTCACCGTCAGGTGTTCTAAAAAG